CCCCCTCTCCTGGTGTTAACTATGTGAGGTTGAGTTTATTTTTAAAGTGCAGTGCAGCTTCTCTGAAGTCTGTGTGCCAGACATGTTCAGTTATATCATGCTAAGCAGGAGCAAAAGATCTTCAGCCTTATGAAATTCAGTCACAGATGTTTAAGAGAGGACAAGGCCTATAGTCTCCTGCAGTCATCTTCCCCTATTGTGCATGCCAGGGAATGCTGGTTTAAAGCACCTATTAATTACAGAGAAGCAGTGAGGAGTTCAGTGACTTTGCCTGTGAACTTTCTAGTGCTGATCCCAATTCTCCTAATGATCCCCAAGTTCAGTAGCCCTGGAGAGAGCAATGGTAGCTGTATCCTTACCTGCTGTCCCCCATCCTTAAGGAGGTTCACTGGCACCATGTCATAAGCAACTCCTTTCATAGCCAGTGCTAGGGAGAACAGAGTGTACAGCTTCAGACAGGCACACTAACACCAGTTTCATTGGTAATGGGCTCAGGGAAATGTTGCCATCTCCATTTGAAAAAAGCATGGCTTTAAAACCAAAAAACCCCCTATCCCTCAAGAAAGGTGGCCTGAGTCCACCGAGAAGACAGTGCTCTGGCAAATGAAGGACCAAACCACTACAGATCAGTCCTGGCAAAAACACTGCACTATTCAAAAGAAGCTTGGCCACTCTTTGCAGCACAGCCCCTTCTGACGTATAAGCCCATATAGGGCAGGGGGGCCTGCGCTCACCTGCAAATCCGTGCTTAAGACTGTCTCAGTCTTAGTAGGGACCATTCCCAGCCCTGCTTAGCTCTCAAAACCTGGGAAGACCAGAATCTGAGGCAGCATCGGTGTGAAAACTGTGCAGAGCCCCTCTAAATAATGTGGAAGAAATAGCCATCTGCATTGTGTTAGCTTTACAAAAGGAGCAGTTCCCTCTAACTAGCTGCAGGATGAGCGAAGCCCTCTCTCTGTTCCTCTCCCTTCCCCTGCTCCAGGTAGGCTGTGGTGTTCCCTTCCCTCCCACTCCGGAGAAGCGGGACGAACTGCCTCACTGTTCCAGGATCATGTTTGCTGATCTCTCTGTTAATAAGTAACTGATTAATTGGGTTAGTGAAGGGGAGGATACTGCAATAACACCAAGACAATCAAACAGAGATCAACACTGGATCTTACCGATTCTCACTCTCCAAGAACAGGAACTTCGGAAATAGCTATAAAGTATCGGCTGAGAAGAGAAAGACAGATAAAGTGGTTATCTGGTGGGAATAGCAGGGTATTTTAAGGAGAACAATGCATGAACAGAAGGCATTTCAGGAACTGTAAGACAGGGCAGAGCTAGGTATGGGGGGAAGAAAGCTCCCTTCTGAAAGTGACTGCTCCTGTTTTCGGCATACAGGTAGCGTCACTGTCTTTCATGCTGGCCCTCGGAATATTTAGTTACACCTGATTGTTTCCAGCAATGCACAAGTGACATTAAAATGATCGCCGACAAAGCTTCCCTCTTTGTCCCTATCAGATGTTGCTAACTTTTATCCCATCTTGGATTTTTTAAGCAAATTCCCCGCTGATTATGCCAAGCACCTGCACTGGGTATTTTTGTGGCATGAAATGGCTTTTCCAGCCACACAGGGCAGGGCAAGGCCTCTTTCCAAATGAGAAAAGCTACTGCTGTTCCAGATGAATGATGGGCAGACAGCTCAGCTCTACCTGAACTTCATCACCGAAGCAGCTTTCACTGACCCTTCCACCCTGTCCAAGCTCTCACCTTTTCAGATGCCATGGTCAGTGCATGCCATCTACTCCAGGAAATAAAAACAACCTCGTCGCATTCCCTTTTTAACTCAGCTGGGATGGGGGAAGGCTTCTCTCCTAAAGCCAATGAGAAAAGGACTATGCCCCCAAATCTGCGTTCAGGGCATGAAAACCAGCCAGTCAGATTCAATCCTGAGTGACAGTGGTCAGCTGCATCTGCTTTGAGGTTGGAAGCACATTCAGGAACCACCCCTATTTCCCTAACTTTTTGTCCACAAATAAATACCTAGAGAGCCTGTCAGGCTCTCAGCAGTTGCCAATGCAGGAAGACAGCCCTAGGGAACAAAACAAGGAAACTGAAGCCATGTGCAGAATTTCTGTTTCACTAGGGAACGACTGCCAGCTCCCTGAACAGGGGCTGCCTTTGCGGGGAGGTCCTGTAGCCCACCTCGGGGCTGAGGGTTTTCTTTGTGGTGTGCCTGGGACAGGCTGCTACTCTGCTCCTGGGCCAACTTTGTGCAAAATACAAAGCTCGCTTTTTTGTGTTACAGTCTTTTCTTTCCACACAGGAAATTGGTACTCATGCATGTCTCTAAGTAAGTCCGTAATCATGTCGCTCCTTCCTTCCATAGAACTCGTGGAATGCCAGGGATCTCTCTGTGTCTCCGCCCTCCCAAAATGCGCAGAAATTACACCAGACACTGACAGCAAGGCAGAAAAAGGCAGGGATTTGCTCACTGACACACAACCTGTCAACAGAAAACCAGGGAGACCCCCAGGATCTCTGTCCTCCAGTCCTCTTTATAAACTTGATGCTTTTCTTACAGTTCAGATTGGTTCAAATAACTGTAAAAGAGGTACAGGTTTGCTTAAATTACTCTAGTCAGTTTGCTGGAGAAATGGTCGGTAAGTGAGGAGGGAAGTGATGGCAGTATTGGCAACACTTTTGTGGACAAAGTATTTACTCATTTTCTGAAATTCTCTGCTTCCGGAATCAGGGCATCAGAAATCTCAGCTATGCTTCTTTCCAAATGTCTAGCCTTCTGGGTTGCAGGGAAAGAAACAGAAACTATGACTTCAAAAGGGAAACATACAGCATTCATGACATACTCTTTTCACTTGCTTTTCCTGGGGACATTGCTGATGATTTTTTGGCTCAGAAATTCATGTCCTTCACCGCATCTGTCCTGGACTCCGGCCTCTCAGCTGGCAGAGACATTTCTCCTGATCCTCTCTACAGCTGTTGTTTTTGCAGCCTGCGCTATCACTTGTAATAAATTGTGCTAAGCCAATTGCTTCACTCTGTAATTTCAAGGCCCCAGGGGATTTCATCAAAAAGAACATGGAAAACAACCTACGCCTCCGCTGGGAACTGCGTCTCTAGAGCCCGGAGCCTGCAGTGATCCCTGTTTTGCTCCCAGTGGCATGGCAGATCCCAGGCGGAACAATCAGCTAAGGAAAGACTAGACAGCGGAGTGTGTTGCCCTCAGGGGACAGGTCCCAGGGTGACACTGCACCTCGCCTTCCTCAGAGGAAGATGTGAGCAGGGGCCCGGGTTAGAGCCGGTGGAGCCGGGACGATAGCCGGGGCACGACGTTTGCTTCGTGTCCCCTGAGATTTCTGGTTTAGCTCTGCTTTCGCCTACAGCATCAGCGGTGCGATGAGGGAAACCTGGGCTTAAATCCCAACCTAGAGGAAAAACCTGGGAAACGCGTTTCTCTGTGGAGGGAGGCGGAGAAGACACCCCAATCTTTGCATGTCGAGCCCTGCGGCTCCCACGCCCGCACGCTCCGGTGTGGCCTCCTCCGGACACCGCCTCCTCCCAAGCTGGACCTGGGGCACGCTGCGAGAGGCAGAGGCTCTGCCCCTCCAAGGC